ATAAGGTATCAAGGCATAAGCTTAGCAAGTCCCCTAACATTGACTGAAAAGCAACAGATAGGGAGTGAAATTCTACTGTTCCTTTTAATCTCTGCAGATCTAGAGGAGATCCACTGTTCCTTTTGATCTCTGCAGATCTAGAGGAGAAAAGACAATTTTGAGGTTGTTCTTGGTTTAAGTCATTTACTTGGGTAGAGAATCTGAATTTGATGTCAATAGCAGAACATTTGAGTGTTTAGCCTCAAGCTTAATTCATATTTAAAAGCGTTCACATTTCTCAGGGTTTTGGTCAATACTGCCTGGCGTCAGTTCCCAGGTAGCATCGATTCCTCAGCAGCTGCCCGTTCCCGCTCGGTTGCTGTGGGCAGTCTGCTCCGCAGTGCGATGGCGGGGCAGCTCGTGGCAGGGCTTGGAGCGCGGCGCTGCCCATGAACACTGCTGAGCGAGYGAGCGGGTCCCACCGTCCCTGGGGACAGCGGAGGCTGAGCGGCTGCTGAGCTGCCAGCAGCCGTTCTGCTCTCCGCCAAAGCCCAGGCTAAATTCGAAAAAATACCTAACTGTCTAGGAGGACACTCGTAAGCTCTGTCTGCGATTAGTGTCCAAGATCAAACAAAGCTGGCTCCCAGGTAGCATCTCATGTTCAGTCGTCTCGGAGGGYGGCTTTCACGGCCCTTAAGACACTGCAAGGTTGCGAGCCCCACTGGCTTCCAGGTAACCAGCTCAAGAGAAGAAGTTATACGATATGCAAGTTGTTTTAACATTCTTGCAATGAGAGCAAAGCAGAAAGATACTTGTTTCTCTGCTAGCTTTTAACTGGGGAATTCAAAATGCAGTGTAGTTTGCTGCCACAGCCATACTATTTAGAGGATGGGACAAACTCTGGTAAAAGCTCATGAAGGAAACGGCATATTCAGATTTCCCTCCAATTCTTTGCTTTTCTTGTACATTTTTTTTTTCTTTTTTCATGAAATAACTGTTCTTTGGCAGTAACTACTACATGATGATTTTATGACTATTTTACTATGATGGTACATTGGGTTCCTCAGAGAAGCCTTAATCCCACTGAATGAGATGCTATATAAAGTCCTGTTTGTAGGGCAAAACAGGCAATGAGAAAAATTTGGGGAGACGAGAAAACGATCACCTATAAACTTACATATAGACTTCCACACAGTTTTATTATTATGCCACAGCTAGGAACTAATATAAGTTAGAAGAATGGATCAGGTCATGAAAATCTCAGCTCCTCTATGGGGCTATTACGATTTAGACTTCTATATGCATGGCTGTTCAAAGGTATAATCACGGGACACGACCATAACATGTACAGAAACTGGTGTGACAATGTTCACTGCCAGATCTCATGGGCAGGTAACTGCAAAATTTTTACCTAAGCACGCTGATTTTCCTCACACTCACTGAATTGGTTTACTCACACCCCTTGGCTGCTTTCCCTCATTTTCAGTGTGTGAATTTATGATTTTTCCTGGTTGACTGGAAAGGCAAGGCCCACGGCGCGTGCTGCAACCTTTTTGCCATCCTCTTGGTGTCTGGAAGCAGAGTCTTTTGCTGACATGTCATGTGTGTCGTGACATTTTCACAGTGCACATCTGTTGGTCTTGACATAAACAGAAAAAAAAAATGTTTGAGTTACTAGTGTCTATGCTTTTGGAGCATGGAATCTGATAGGCAGTCCTAGGAATTACCTTTCACATTAGAGAAAAATCTTCCTTTTCTTTCTCTATTTTTCTTTTGGCAAATGTTTCCTTAGTTGACTTGTACTGAGCATGAGGTAGACAGGGCTGCAGCAAGAGTGATCCTGCAGCAGCAGCCCCAGCAAGCCTGGTTGGTCAGAAGGGGAGTAAGGCAGACAAAACCCAGCCAAAGGTACTGCCTTCTTTGGATATGAGTGCCCCAGTGTCAGACCCACGTAGTAAAATCTTGCCTGTGATTAAATAAAAGGGAGAGGTGGGTGCAAGGGCAATAGAAGATACACCAGCTAGGTGTATAAGAAACATCAGCATGGATGTCGTGCCATTCATGCACAACAATATGTCTCTAGTATTTCACAGAAACAGAAAGAACAATTTAGAATTTACACATAAAAATTAAAGTGTATTTTTATAATTGTAAAAGCTGTTAGGATGTACAGAACTCGCAAACAGTATAGAGAGAAAACAGAATAGATATATTTATAAAACAGAATTACAGTAGCTATATTTAGTTATTCAGGTTAGTGTCAGTGAAGGAGGGTATTTATTGATGAGTCACATGAATCCCATGAGTGCTACTGACAATAAGCACAGTAAATAAGGTAGCCTTGGTGTCTTCCCATTTGCAAGAAGCCTAATGTTCCTCTTGCAATTTGAAATCCTAGTAATTAAAGATGAGGAGATGACAGAACAGTCTATTGGGGGATCTTAATCCTTCGCCTGCATGCAAATTGATTCGTTAACTGCATAGTTCCTATTGTGATTGGAATGGTTTTAAAGGTCTACAAAGACAGGCTTTGCATTCCTTCAGCAGAGTGTTACTTAAAGAATGACAAATACACACACAGAAGGCAGGATATTTGCTTTAATAATAAAACACTACTTTAAGGAAGATCCTTGGTCATCTGATTTAATGGTCACCCAACTTCCTGAGCTGAATATCCTCATTTCAGAATGGGCTTAGCCAGCAGTTTCCTGAGCTCTATGGCCTTACCTATTTCACTAGTGTAAGCTTCTCAGATGAGCAATTTGGGCTGCTAGCCATCATTTCCATAATATGTGACAATCAGGCCTGTCATAGGTTATTTATGCAAAACATATGCTTGAATATTGGCCTAGATCTCAGAAATCTGATTTTTTTTCTTGCTTCTGCAGGTCACTGAGATAGATAACTTATCAGTCTAACTCTCTGCTCAGTTTCTTCATCTATAAAACAGGCTCAGTGATACTCATGAGGTTTTAAAAACTGTTTTAAGTTACACATGATAAATTATTAAGCACCGTGGATTCTCTCCTTTGAATAACATGCAGTTGTTAACACACTGACTCATTCACTTCCATATTAGCATCTTTATTTAAACATTTGCTGTTCGTACTGTGACATAGCAAAACACTCATTTTCTCAAAGCAGCAATTATAAAGAAGCTTTTATAACTGCACAAGTATAATCAGAATAGTAGAAGACTGGTGAGACTGCCATCAGCACTGAGCTTGATGGATTATCTGGTACTTCTTTAAATTCATGCAACTGAGAGCAACCAAAACAGCTTCCAGTTCAAGCCTGCCCTCCACTGGCTTCAACAAAACACTGCTAATAACGGTTGTATCAATGCTGTGCTTTTGCAGTGAAGAATAGAAACTAAATTAACAGAAGCTACTTCTTTTTTCTGCAATATAAAATTTTTTTGTTTAGTTTTATCTAGCCTCTCTGACAGAATCTTGTAGTTCATGTTTTCAAAAGCCCCTCAGCTTAATCATTCATATTCCCACACACACCATGGGAAGTAATCATTCCACATATGGTTTTAAAGACATTTAATAGAAGGAAGCTACACAAATAACAATATTTTGTTATGATACAACTGGCAATTCCAATACATGATGTTACATGTACCAGTCAAGTAATAAAGTACTAAAAGCAATCAGTATTAATCTAGTTTACTATTCTGTCATCAGAAACAAGCAGTCCTTCCAGGTAACATATGAAAGGAAAGAAGATAAAACTTTGTTACTGTCTTAATTCCATATACAATTAATTCATCTTAACTCATTAGGACTCTTTTTCTTTTCTATGTTTGAAGTAGAAAGGTAACTGTAAAAAGCTATACTTACTCAGTTATACTTACTCACGTGTAGTTGTCGAGCGTAACTTCAACTCCAAGATAACATCTGTGTCTAGAGAAAATCTGCAACATGCAGTGCAGGATGTGCTCAAGCTGAAAAGCCTCTGGTTTATCTGCCTTGTCATCTTCTCACTTCATTACACATAACAGCATCTGATCTCTTGCAACTGCTACCTAAACCTATCACAAAGCAGAAAAATGTGGTTTCTTCTGAAGTATACTTAACATACACTAGAAAAAAAAAAGCCAAAGCAAAGGATACAGTGTTTGAGATATATCATTGGCGGGGAGGCAGGACAGGGGGCTTTCAAATGCCTGAAAATCAGGATCAGATTCATAGTTCATGCCAAGACTGCTAAGAGGCTTCATAAAGCAGAGCATAAGAAACTTTCAGAAAGTTCTCAAATATCCTCTGCATTTATTAGCTGCTAAAATGGCTATCAATAGCCATAAATATAACATTTTATAGAGGGTAGTTTTCTGAAAAGCACTCAACTTCTCAGTCCTTACTGTTATTAACTGAAGCAATCAGTTACGATTTCAAATATTTCACTGTCAGAAAAAGTTCTTTTTAGCATCATAATTATTTTTACAGATACTAAGGAAAGAGTGTTACAACAACAGTTCACTGAAGAAAGGAAGGTGAATGTGTTTTTTCATTCACCTTCCTTTCTTAGAAATCTTCATTAGTTTTCAAATGCTCCAATAACATTTTTCAAAGTAGAACAGAGAAATATCTTTTTTTTCACATTCAGTGCTATAAATTGATTGCAAAGAGTTTTATTCTGAGCACTTTCTAAGGTTGCATAAACTTAAGACAATCTACAAAGTTCAAAGTGGTATAAAAAATACTGATGGCAGACTGCTTTCTAAATCAGCATGTATTCACTACCCTAACAATTTTATTTCTATCACAGGAAAAAAAGTCTAAAACATGTATCCATTAAAATGTGCAAAATCTTTATAGATGTTTGCTCTTACAATAATGTATTCTCCAATATCAGAAATTCAGAAATTATCTTCTAGATTTGCTGACAATTAAAAAAAAAGAATTTAAATATCCTGAAAGTTTTTATGAATCTATTGAAACCATCAGATTTAGCTCAGATGCTAAAAACAAAGTTCAACTTCAAAACAAACATTGAGTAAATATGGATATTAGTTCTGGCCTCAGAAAATCCTTTAATCCATCAGACTTGTGCATATCAGTGTAAATATGCAAGCAATCAGATTATTGTTTTCATCCTTGGCCAAATATCCCAGTTACACTTGTGTGCATCGAAAACGTGCTACATTTTTAGAGTAATTACTTATAGTGTAAGAGTATCTTTAATTTGCATTATTCAGCAAAGATGGAAAGGGAAAGTTTAAAAAGAGATTAAAATTGTGCTGCAGATAATATTGAATTTTCAAGCACAATAGCAGCTCTTCTCAAAGGTGCCCGAAAACAGCTGATGAGGTTTTGCTGAACGTTGTCTTACCTCATCAGATCGCTTTCTCTTTCATTGGCCTCACAAGCTGTAATGAAAATAATGAAATCATACATTGTCTACATTGTCTTTATACTCAATTCCACACTCACAAGAACTCATTTTCATTGGCTTGTTAAATAAACCTATAGTTTTCTTATTGCATTAAGTATACAAAAGTACTCAGGTTGCAGCTTTTTTTTTCTGCTCCTCACTATGATTATTTATTAATTTTCTGAATTGGCATTTTGGCAATATAATATCCCCCAGAAATATCCAGAACTGGACCATGGCCCACATACATCCAAAGAACAGCATACAGTTATCACAGAAAAAATACTAATCTGGACAGAAAGCTTGTATATGCATCACTGTTCTGTAGTCCCTGAATCTTTTGAAATTACATTATGTGCAAATTTTTGCAGATTCAGTCTGTAATGTCTGTTAAATACCCCTTGCTTTCTTGTTCTTGTATTGTTTATAGTGATTTACAGTTAATCCTCAAGTGTAAAGTATCTACTATAGCATCTTTAAACTATAGCATCTTAAACTATAGCTCCTATTAAAAAGAGCCAGACTCAAACTTTGTGTCACAGTAGATGAATTTGATGCAATTTCTTGACAACAAATTGGAGGGGGAAATCTTGAAATCAAAAAGTGGCAAGTAGTCAATCAAATATCAAAGGAATTCCCATATAGTTTACATGGCAGCTACTGCAGATACCGGGGCAAGTGAAGTGAAGAGCTTGGTGCCAGCAGCAGGGAACACAAGTCCTAAGGCTAAGGAATGGCGAAAGTCCACAGTGCTTATTCTCCCCTCCAGCCTGATGCACACAGCTACATATGTGTGTGAACCACTAGTAAACTTCAGCAGGTAGGAGGCTATTAGGTAGGAAGAGGGCCTATGTCTTCTAGGAATATGTCACTATTCAGGGGATCTGAGAGCGTGTGGTGCCTGTGAGACAAGTGGGTGTGCGTCCTGGGCATCTGTTCGGCTCACAAGCATCAAGCTGGACCAGTCAACAAGGAGATCCACAGAGCAAGCAACAGAACCCAGCACCTGGGCAGGGATATTAGATGGTCAGAGGGGTCCTCTGTGTGTGTGTGTGTGTGTGTGTGTGCGCGCATGTGTACATGTAGGGGGTGAATTCAGAGAGTGAGGATGAGGGCTTTCACTAGTGACCTGAGTTCTGATCAAAACTGCATTTTGTAACAGGACAGCATGTTTGTGCCATCCCATCACTAAAATTTGTATTTTGGACACATTTGTATTTTGGAACAAAATGTGTGACAAAAACAAGCTGCAAGTCACCAGAACCATTCACATGGCTTGCAGCTTGCTACCCGCCTGCACCTGCAAAGCAAGGAGCAGACTATAAGCTCAAATGTAGATCTTATCTGAATGGCAGAACTGAAATTCATTAGTAAGAGACRAAAAAGTTTTGTTATGCCCAAGTTTTTTTTCTGGCTCTAAGCATATGTCAATATTACAAATCACAATATTCAAAAGGGCCATAGAAGTGTAAGTAATTGGCTTAAGCAAACTGATACATGATATACCAAACTTTAATAGTGTCTCCTCRTGTGGCTGTGAACAAAAGTGGGTGATTTCTGCATTGTCATTAGGATTCATTTTCCTGGTAGTGATGTACAAATCGATGTTTAATCATTGTATTTAATTATTAGGAAGTTAATGTATTAGAGTATTGTTAGTTAACATAAGGCTTGAAAGGTATCAATGCAAAGGCATTTGTAGGCATCAATGAAAAAGATGTAGGCATCAATGAAAAAGAACTAAAGAACTGTAACAGTGCTAAGACATACATACACATATATTTAATGCAAGGATGAGGACAAAAAATAATGTATAATATTTAGCTAAGAAGCCAGAAGGAATCTGGACACCAGTCTAGCTGTTCTTTTGTATTTCATAAATAGCTACAAGTATGATGTAAGTTGTTCTCACCTTAACATAAAAGGATCCTCCTAGAACACCTCCGGGGCTCTCCAAATGAGGAAGTCCCTTCACTGTATCTGAATTAACCAGCTCTGATGAGATCTCAACTCTGTTTATTGAAGCCCTTGGAGACCTACAAGTAATTCAGTTTTTATAGAAGGCATAAGAAACTTTGTTCAGAGTTTCTATATACTATTAAATCCCCTCCAAACTGAACTTGAAGAACCTGGCAAAGGGCAAGGGATTACAAGAGACATAATGGAAACACACTATATACATGAAATAACTGAGTCAATGACACACACATCATCTGATAAGGTGTCCCACAARTAGTGGTGTCAAATAACAGATTAGCAACTAAAGTAGTGCAAGATCTTGCAGAGCCCAGGCACACTCATTTAGAAGCTAGAAAATAAACTGCCTCAATACCTAACAGAGCTCTGACTTTGGAAAGACAGTAAGCATAGTAGTGTTTTTAGGTATTTGGTCTAAACTACAATGACCACTCCCCCATGTTCTGAGGGGCATTCGACAGGTTGCACCCATACCTGACTGAGCTTGGCACACACCTGGGGAGCAAAGGCAGCAAAAAGTTCCCCATGGCACTTTGAAACTTTCCTTTTTTTTTTTTTTTTTTTTTTGTTAGCAAACCGTCTCCTTGCACCAACAAGTTACAGATGTCCTCTCTCTGCTTTCCACTTACCAAAAGACATTTCCTAGCTTTCAGAGGAGTGAGCAAACCTTGAGCACACCTGAGCCGTACAGAGGACAAGTAAAAGCACAACAACAGAAGCGCTACAAAGCGAACACGAGCAGGCCCCCGCGTTCCGTACCGCCAGCATCCGCGGGGCAGCGCCGCGCTCCGGCGGCTGCCTCGGGCCTCCCTGGGCTCTGGGCACGGGGACGAGCGGCCGCAGCCTCCGCAACCGGCCGACGGCGCCTCCCGGCCGCCATCTCCTCGCCCGCCTCCGCGAAGCGCCGCCCCRGTGCCGGGGGAGGAAGGGGCTGTCTCCTCCTCTCGGCCGCCGGGGGCGGGCAGCGGGCGCAGGGGAACGACGCCAGCRCGAGCCCCTCCTCCCTTCCTCGCTCGCCGCCGGAATGCCGAAGCTCAGCAAGGAGGCCAAGCAGCGGCTGCAGCAGCTCTTCAAGGGCGGCCAGTTCGCCATCCGCTGGGGCTTCATCCCCGTCGTGCTCTACTTAGGTGAGAGGCGGCAGYGGCCCGAGCGCGCGGCGAGGGGAAGCCACCTGGCGGCCGTTGGGCGGCTGAGGCCGGGGCGGGCGACCGTTGCCTCCCCCCACGCGTCCGTTGGGCGCCCCCCTCCCCCCCGCGACCGTTGGCGGTGGGGGAGGGTGCCCCGCGCCGCTCGGGGCCGTGCGGCCGTTAACGCGCATGCGCGCGGGGGCGGGGGCTGCCTGCGGCCTGCAGGCCTGGGCTGGGAGGGACTGGCCCTGCTTGAGGGTTTATTTACACGTTTTAAAATATGTAAATTTAGATATTAGGTCAGAATCCACCCTTCGGCTTCCTTTGGCCTGATCCTGCACTGGGAGCATGAGTGAGCCTTTGCTGGGGGCCCTTGGTGGCAGCAGGGCTTGGAGATCCTCCCTGCTCTCAGGTGTGGGGAGAGCACACATCGGAGCGAGAAGTAAACGCAGCTGCAAACTTAGACTGGTCAGCGGCTGAGAAGCAGGTGTGCTGACCTGGGCCTTCCCTGCGGCCAGGGAAGGTGTCTGCCCCAAAGAGCCCCGCTCTGCAGCTGCAGAGTGGGTTCCTCCAGCCTCTACACGAGATCGAATTTCCACCTAGGCGCAGGTTAAACTTCTCCCCAAGTGCCTTGGCCGTTGTGCCAACACTGTGCTCTGCGTCCTTCCAAAGGGGCCCACGTGGCAYGCCTGGCACCAGGATAAGCTGTGCTTGATCCAACAAGTGAGGTGGTGGTTTTATTGCTGAACCTGGGCAGCGTGCCACCGGCTAYGCGTTAGAGAGCTCAACCTGCCGTGTGTAACGCGCATGTAACGTGCCCGGTATTGCTGCTCTCTGCCCCAGTCCCAAGGGAAAGGGGCCCGCAGCCGGCCAGGGCCACGTATCTCTGCTGTGTTAGCTGTCAAAAATGACATTGCTTTAATTAATTAGGGAGGTGCAGTGTATAAACCCCATTAAGAGGCCTTTGGAAGCTAGGTTAATAGAAAACAAGCTGGAAGCAATTATGTACCTTATACCTATTTTTGCTAGATTGAGCAACTGCAAGTAAAGGAGGTCACTTAAAGCATTATGGATAGAACTAATTGTCAGTGTTAGCTTTAAAGCTTAATTATGTTTTTGCTTTTAGCTTATTGATTATTTTGAATTGATCATTTTTGGGTGGGAATGTTTTCAGTGTTTTGACCTAATTTTGCTCTTGCTCTTGCTCTACTGGTTTTACTTCTAAGATGATATACGAGAAAGCTGCCCATTGTTCTGAAGGGGAATAGAGGAATTTAAATGAGCTGCTTCAAGGCATATCTCACTGTGCTTACAGTTGTACCGACGCTGGAGAACCTGGTGTATTTCTGTTATGTGATGGCGACACCCTTTAAGCTGTAGTTGTTTTAATATCACATCTCTAAAAATGTGTGATGTTTTGTATTTGCATATGTATATTAGGTCAGTACAGATTTTTTTTTTTTTTTTTAACATGGCTTGATGGTTAGAAAGTACTAAGAAAAAACATCCAGAAGCGTTCTCTCTCTAAATCTGTTTCGCATGCACATGATGTTACTACAACTTAATGAGTTTTTAAGCAATTTTTCTGGAAGKTATGGCAACTATAGATAATGTGTCAGGATTTTTTTTAATAGTCTCAAATCACACAGGGTTATCTTCCAAGAACTAACCCAGTGCCCGTGAAGTTAATAGAAGTTTTTCCATTAACCTTCACGGCCTGTGTTTCGGGCAAGCTCTTGCTGATTATTTATTTTCTAAGAACTAGAGAAGTAATAAATTTTACATTTACCATCCATTTCTGTATGGCAAGTTTAAGAGTGTGTGTTGAATAGTGCAGGTCTTGCATAATTCTGCTTCAGGACTTCAATTTGCCGTCCAGCAGGCAGAGATAAGTTACACACTAGTCCAGCAGACAGAGACATTTGATACACTGCACCTAGAATCACTTGCTTCATACACATTTGCTTTAGCAAATACAATATTTGAGTCACTAATTGGGAATGAACTTTTTGAAGTTAACTTTTTCTTTCCACTTGACACTATGAGTTGTCAAGCATCTTAATTCTTAGCAAACTTTGCTGGTAGGTAGCTTTTCAAGAAGTGTTAGTAAGAATGARAGGTTTTAGGTGTGTTGTTCAATTGCTGCTGTTTTCATGGTTTGAATAACATATTTCTCTGATCCTAAATCAAATGACCTTATCTTGAAATATTACTTTAAGTTGTACATCAGATGTCATTCCAGGACATTACCTGTGTGTGTGTATCTGTGTTGGTCTGTAGGGTAAACTTCATCTCTAGGGTAAATTTCATATAGTTGTCCCTGAATTTTAGGTCAGATAAAGGTAGATAGGTCAGATAGGGTCAGATAAAGGTTAATATGTTTGTTGAAGTCAGTGCTTTTGTATTTATTTTGTCTACCTTCTGCTTTGACAAGAATGTATATTTTTTATTCATATTAGCATACAACTTGAATCATTATTCTATCTTCAAATAGTTCTCTAATTCAATTTAGTGGGCTAGAATAACTAGTCCTTGCTCTAACTGCATAGGAGTCTGTGTCTATCCATATATGTGTAACATATGTTTCACTTCAGGATTTAGGAGAGGTGCAGATCCGGGAATGCCTGAGCCAACCATTCTGAGGTACGTGTTCATCATTAAAGCACATGCAAWATCAGTGTCCACATTCACAGGTTCAGGTGTTGTCCTTGGGTGTTCACACTGGACAGCAGCAGTTGCAAAGGTTGCCTTCATTCATGGCTTTTAATTGTTTAGTGCCATAGCACACCTGGTGACAGATCTTGTTTCTTTGGAAATCCAAGCTAAATACAGACACCAAAACAAGTTTTTGGAGGACTTTAGTATTTTCCTCTTAATATTGTGCGGATTCTAATAATCTGTGTCCTCTGAGTGGAAGCTGCTCTTCTGATCTGTTGTACAGCTGTTCTATACAAATTTCCCTCGGCACCTAGGAATAACTACCTAGCTTTCTATCATGAATTGAACAAACAAACAAACAAGTCCTCTTCCCCCTTTGCAAATATTTCAGTAATGCTGCATAACAACTACATGAAATAAAGCAATACAGCTTGAGTAATGCATTATCAAGGCATTTAATAAACGTCAAGATAGACTCTTCATTATTAGTCACTGTCATAAGTTCAGAAAAGTGCTTTTGCACATACTTCTTGTAGGATTTTTTTTTTGTTAGTGCTGCAATGTTCTGATAGTAAAAATACCTGAATTCTTGTGGTATTGGAGTTTGATTGGAGAATTTCCATGAGTCAAGCTTCCAACATTTCTTGTTCTTAAAATAACCCTGTGATCACTGTGTAGAAGCAGGTATTGCTGAGATAAATGGTTGATGGTTTGAATTGTTACCAACTGTTTCAACCAGTCTCTGTTAAGAAATTACAGARATTTCATTTCCAGGACTAAGTGATTTAAGAGAGTTTTTTTTAAAGTAGAAAATAAGAGAATAATGTTTCAAGATCATGTTAAATTTTCAGTTTTATTTCCTTTTTGTCCTAAGAGCTAATCTGTTCGTTTTTTTTTTTTTTTGACTGATACTGTTTACATGTTTAGCGTAGCAGTCTGAGCAGTCGTTTTCTTGCTTTAGTGAGCATGTCTGCACAATATAAATTATGTATTTATGCCCAAGGTGAAAAGGTCTATTAYGTGCTTCTGTGACAACCTCGATCTAGCTATTGTAAAAATCGAATCTGCAAATACCTGGAAGCACATGTTTGGGTCTAGTCCAGTGCTTACAGATACTGATTTGTTTTTTTTCTGGGCACATGCTCAAACTCTCAATGAGCTTAAATTTAATTTTATAAATAGCTTTATTACAGTATTTGAGGGGATATAATTTTTTTCTGTAAATTAACATGTTAGAGTTGGCTGTTTTCCTGACTTGTATTTTAGAAATATCCATTTAAAAGTAAACAGGTCTTACAAATCTGACTCTCATTTCCTTTTTCCTCTGCTTCCAGTCTCCTTTGGGGATGAAAGCCATAGCCGTCCACTCTTAGAAGCAGCTGGTGGGCAGAGGAGATGGCTGAAGATGTGTGTACATTCCAGAGGATGAGGTGGATGCTGAACATTACACCAGCTGGCTCAAGTAGCTTGCTAAAGGCATAGATTGTACATACAGCAAAATGGAGTTTATATGGACCTAACTTATTTGCATTACGGTGTAATTAAATAAACACAGTTTGAATCAATATATATTGTTTTAAATTCTTTAAGTATGTGTAGTTTAGTGTTAGCCGTATTGCAGAAAAGATAGAGTTTGTGTTCTCTAGATTTGCTGAAGTTTAATCTCTGTGTTTATCCTCATTATGATGATCTTTCAGGTAGATTCTTCATTTTCAGAATAAGGAGAAAACCTGGCTAATGATTTAAATATTTTAGCATTTTTCCAATATTTTTGCCTGATTGTTGGTAGGCTTCTGCAGCTGTTCAGTCTGTGCAGACTATGCAGACTTTTTTTTTTTAATTTTTGATTTGTTCATCTTTAGATATATTAACTAGGTAAGATGTGTACTTTCTCTTCTCTAACATAATCACATAGTTACAAATCCAGTGTACAGTCTTCTGCCAAATTTACTTGATTTGCGAATTTCAGAATTGGACAAAAATCATTTGGCTCCTTTAGGAGTGTTGGTTCAGACCTCTTCAGGTATAAAAAGAAAAATAATAATTTTGGGGCTGTTGAGGACAAAGGTATGTCATATTTATATGTGTTAGAATAAAAATGATGGTCGGACCTGTTCAGGAATAGATGTGGCAAACAATGATAAACAGCAGTGGTTCTGTAAAAGGAAGTGACTGATGTGCAAGTGAGGAACGAAAACGAGTATGCTAAGTGAGGTGTGTGCTTCATTTGTTTCTCAAACTCTCATTCTTCAGAATATTGTTGTTTTCGTCATATGTTTTAACTTTTAGCACTGAAATTCAAGCATTGACGTGGCAACCAAGCACTTTTTTTTTAGCCTCATAGATTTTCAGACAGCTTTCACAAATTCAACTCCTGAAGAATAGGATATTCTTCAGTTTCTAATCTATTAAAATTCTTAAATTCTAATTAAAATATTAATACTTTTGAGGGAAAACATGAATAAAGTGAGCAAAGGGGAAAAGTATATTGAGAGACRAGCTTAAAAAAAGGAGTGAAAAACATTCATAAAACTGCAAAGCAGTGTATTTCTGAAAATCCCATTAATCACAAATCATATGTCATGAAAATAAGTCAAATAGCTGATGATAATAGACCACTGACTGGGGGACGGAGCAGGGAGGGAATGCAGAACATTCTTGTTATGACTCCATGTGCTGCTGATACTGTAGCTTTTCTAGTACCTTTTTTTTTCTTTCAAATGGTAACTTAAGTTTCATGTAGCTTCTCAAAAGATCTGAAGTTACGAAAGGAGTTCACATTCTTTCCCTTGAGTGATCCTCATTACAATAATAATGGAATCTGTTGCATTGMCTCTTTTTTTTTCTTTTTAAATCATAATGAGGAACAGCTTTTCTTCTCCCACTGAATCTCGTGGGATATCATAAGAGTATGCAATGTGAAGAAATTCAGACTTCTCAAAGCCAAATTTTGCATTTCCCAAGTGTTATACCATGACCAARCTGCAACAGTGGGTGGATGGACTCAAACACCTGCAAAACTATTTCACAGGCYGTGTTGTATGTCAGATATTTGGGGATGTGGTTTGTGGGTCTTCACCACCACGTGGTTTCTCTGACTGCCTTCCAAGGATTTGACAAGAAGCAGAGAGATAGGGAAGTGTTCTTGTCTCTTGTGTTAAAAGTATATACATAGGCATAGGTATATCAAGCATGAAGCCAAATTCTGTAATTTCAATGTGTTAAATTCCCTTAAAAGCACTTGTAGTTCAATTCTTTAAGACTTACAAATTATCTGATAAATATTGCTTGYTCAATTCTGACGTTAGAAGGTTTATTTTCAATACATAGGGTAGCAATTTTTCATAGTTTGCTGTTATTATGGAAATAAATGCAGTTACTGGTCTCTCTAAAAAATGCAGTTTAGAAAGCCAATAGCATACAGCCTTTGGGCTTTCAAACTGGAGAGGGGTATCCTTTATAGTAAGGACCATATAGTAGCCAAATGCAAGCGAATGMCAGGAGGTAGGATAAAAATTCTCATGCTTACACAGCGAAGCAGTATTTCTTTCAATATAGCTCTAAAAGATGAGTGAAATGCCTTAAATAAACTCTCCCTTTTCTCTGGAAATAAACATTAACCATAAATCTTGGTAACTAAATGTAAATAGCAAAATCCGTCAGAGAAACTTTGTTTTCATAGATTAATGAAGGAGTCTTAGGTTGCAGCCATCTGAATATATCTGAATTAGGGGTAGTTATTGTCATTTTTACAACGTTCAGATGTGCTTCTAAGACCCAAGCAGTGTCCTTGGAAAGAATATGTTAAATGGATTCCTCTGAAGAAGTAWTAGCTCTGTAAAATAGCTTTGAGAAACATGACAGTTTTAACAAAACTCCTGTTCTTGTGGTGCTGGGGGAGAAGAGGTCAGGTCTGTGTGGTAACACGAAGTGCCTCAAATATGTATCAGAGCTGTGGACCACTACAGGCTGCAGACTTGAAATTAGATCTTGCTCTGAGTGTCTTAATGTCTAATTTTTGTTTTTYCTGTTCTCCCAATGGAAATTCAAGAAGTATTATTTCACTGAAAGGGGAGGCACTTCAAAACAGACCAAACAAACATGAGCTTTCTTGCTTGACTGTGTTGGTCCAAAGATCTTTTTCAAATGAAACACTGTTTTTTTCTAGCCAAATAGAGATTMTTTTTTGTAATGGACTCTGTGACTCAGTCCTTTTAAGATTACGTATAAACTCTAATGTTGGAATAACAGATCAATGTCACCTACTGAAAATCAAGCAGTGCCTTCCACAGCTGAGCTCATGTTTGCGCTTTGCTTACAGTCTGGTTAGTGGCTATTTTTTCACCAGCGTTCACATGAAGACTGTACCTGCTGTGACCCATCTTCATCGGACCTTAGCTGGACATAACTGTCCTTAGCATAAGGACAGTTCAGCTGTGGCTCTTCTGCCTGGAAAGTGGAGGTGGGCTCTGTGTGTGCGTGGTTACACTGGCATCATGTGAAACAGCCCAAGTGCCAGGTGAAATATCCCAGTTGGCGGGTTGGCACTGGAGCCTCTTGTACCTGRTGCTGAACAGTTGTGTGAGGCTTGGGGAATGTTTCCACCTGCACTGGGCTTAGGAGGACTAAAGGTTGCAGCGGCTCCTGGCTTACTGTGCTCGTTGCCAGAAGTAAGGGTACTTGTGTCTTGAAGGCGGTGAGGCAAATACCCTGTTTTTGCTTCTTCTTGCAGTGACCTTTAATCCTGCGTCCAGGGTTCTATGACATGTGGAAGCCATAGTTCAGAGGACCAGCACCCTTGCTGGTCTCATCCTGTGAGAGTGGCACCAGATAGGGGCTTGTGTGGTCTCCGAGGTATCTGTGAAGAAGGGATTTTCCTGCCCCCAGGCCTGAAGAGATGGGCTGGAGCAGTGTTTCTCTTCTCTCCAGCCTGGCTTATTCAYGTAAGCTTTGCAAGCAAAGCATCAGGAGATTGTGATGGGCAAGATGCTACGTGATGTCCTGCCTTGTGCATACCTCCCTCAAGCTGTCGTACCGAGCACAACTACTGTTGGTGCTTTTAATTTTCAGGCGTAATTCTTACATCTATATGCATGTTATWTTTTAATTGCTTTGCCATGCATTGTGTCCAGCTGGAGGTAGAAGGTGAGTTACAACCAGGTATGATTGGGCAGTTCTGCTGGGAAGTARCTCTTCAGACTGCTGTTGTCTGAAGCAAGCTCTACCTCTGACAAACTGTCCTGGAGTGTGGGTGTTACCAAAGGTGTAATGGAGAAGAAGGATATTAGGCTAAAACAAAAGGGTAAGAAGTCGTTGAAAACGGAGAAATAAGAGAGGCTCGATCAGAAGACAAAGGAGTAGGAAAAGTAGCCGATGGTTTTAGAAGTGAAAAACAAGAAGTAAGAAAAAGATACATGCGCATCAGGCAAGCCGCAGACTGCCGCAGTGCTGTGATACTTCATGTGTGATGCTGAGGGTATCTTGTGAGCTGGGTGGATTTCATGATCTTGGTGCATGTTTGTATTGTGTGAAGGGACCTGTGCTGTGTGTCATCATAGTCACCAGCAGGACAGAACAGAGCAAGATATTTAGCTTTTCGTATAAGCAGTTCAATCTTTGATGGAAACTAACATTTTGCTCCAAAACCTCTCTAAAGACTGGCAAATCATGAAGTAGGGATTTGGAGTTCGGAACAAGTCATGTGGTTAGGCTACAAGTTACTGGAGTGAACATAGTCAATATAAAATCCGTGTAATGTATCTCGTTACAGTTAAAAAACAAAGGAAACATACTTTTATCTTGAAGCAATTCATCAGCAGAAGTCACATTAACCTAAAACCTATAACCTTCCAACAGGTCAAAAACTTTGCAAACCCAAATGACCTTTTGTTACAGCAGGTCCCTGTATTGGTATTTGTAAGACCAGTTCATCTTGTCTTTTTGCAGCTGTTTTATGACATGGCTGTAGATGACAAGGGGTTTCTTAAAATGTATTTTTATTGCATCATGGTTAATTGAATCAGATTTGAATCTAATGTATTATTTTTTAACAGACAAGATTCCTAAAATGGAAACTATATGCCCTGGATGTTTTGGGGAATATTTCGTTATAGACCTGGAATTTAAGCTATGATGACACTCATGATAAATATTGGAAATAAAGCTCATTACATCTTTTCTTACCACAAGAATAAACATCACATCCTGGTTAAATGTCATATGACTAATTTAATTTTACAAGTGACTAGCTAACTGCAATTTCTAAATAGTTTTCCATGATGATGTGTGATATAACAACTGCTTCTTGGTTAAGCTTGTGGCTTTCATTCCTTGTTTCTTGCTTATACTTATTTTAATTCAGGATTAGGAGATAGATAAGACAATGGGGATGCTTATATAGGGGAAAAGGAAATTTGTTTTTTTTTTTCTGATTAAGAAATCAATTCTGATTTTCTATTAAATATAATTTAAGAAGTTGAAGTAACTGCAAAGTAATGAGCAGTCATCAGCCTGGAAAATGGCATGAACTGAAATTTCCATGTAAGTTCTAATTCTCTTTCTCAGTATCCACTTTATTCTTGTAGAGACCCCCAGATGGGGCAATTAATAACTGCAGCTGGAAAGCAGGCCCTTTTCTGGCAAGATTACCTATACATGCCTGCAAATAGTCTTTCTTCCAAAAAATTCCATTTTTCATGGCCCTATCCTAGGACATTGAGCCCTCTGATTAAGAGGGATAGAGCCCTTTCTGGGGAACATCTTTGATCTTCATCATGGGAGCTACAAGTGTAGACAAGATATGGTCCCTCTTCCCTCTGTGTCTCTCCAGAAATTATTGCTTGAAGTGTAAGGGGAAGCAAGGGCTGTTGCTGATCATTTAACTCCAGTAGCTGGGTTTTTAAGAAAACTCCCTACCAAATATCACTGACCTATAATGCTTGGCAAYGCTTTTAGATCATTAACATTGAGTATTTATTTTGCTGTGGTTTTTTTTCTTTTAAATTAAATACTGAAAGAATATTAGTCATGAGTAATGGTTGCAAACTTTGGGGTGATGTTGCACGCCGTAGCTAAGCCAATCTGATGGCACAGTGCTGCTGAAAGGAGCGGTGATCCTGCCCCCCTTGCCTTGCTCATGGTGGAAGTTTTCCCTGTCTGTAGCATCAGCTCTGTTTTGCTAATCTCAATAATCTTTAGCCATTAATGAAATCAGTGAAGGTGCCAAAAATTGATTTTTTTTCCCCCCCAAGTATCTCTTGTTCTTAATGCAAAAATTAGAAATTTACATCAGTACTTAGCTAACTGGACAGGGAATCAAGACTGATACACACACACACACACACACACACACTTATATATATGTATTATTTATGTATTTATATGCCTTAATATTAGATGGTGTTTCGTCTTATAGGTTTGGGGTTTTTTTCCCCTAACATTTAATGGTGTGTTCACAGCATTGAGGCATGTTTTGTTTCTTATTGCTCTGACATTATCTTAGTCCTGTGGGCTTTCTGTAGATTTTACACATGCTTTTAAACTTAACTTTCTCTATCCTCTTCCTGCGTTGGGAAAGCTAATTCACCAGAAGTGGGGTGTGTAATCCATTGAGCATTCCAAAAATTCGGTGTAAAGTTAATGAGCAGAGATTCAGCACAAAYGTAGAGGAATGCTAGCTAGATTCAGGATGTGACAGGAAGATCCTACTCCTGTACATTAGCAGCCAAAAGTTACACAGTACTAGCAAACTGCCCGCAATTTCCTAGTTTTTATAGGCAATTATCAGCAGTTGTTTTGCTTTCTTTTGTTTTCTTGACAGTTAAGAGTTGTGAGAAGATCAAATGTTAAGGTATCTGTTGCTAGAAGTAGTGTATTTATTTTTCTGGGATTGGTTGTTTGTAGTGCTCGCTTTTACTGCTCTAGTTTCATATGCACTGGTCTGTCAACTAATAAATGTCTGTGTGTGTTCATTGCTTGTTCTAAATATGTAGTAATATACACAACAAGCAGGAAAAAGATGGAATTCAGTGTTTAACTCTCCTCGGATTTCCGTGGGAATGTGTCACTGTGGTGTTCCTGTGCCACAGCCAACAATCTGGGTAAATTTTGGCAAGTGGTTCCTGCCCTGGGGATGTACTCTCCGAGTTGACACGGTGAGAGCAGAGTGATGGCAAAGGAACAGCTCTGCAGGTAGCTGCCCAGCTTGCCCCGAGCGTGGCTGCAGTGACAGCAGCTCCGTGCAATATCAGTTATGTCCTTCCCTCCACGAAGGACTCGAGGGCAACTTCTGCCACTGCCCTGGGAAGTTGTCCCCACGCTCCATGCAAGCAGCAATCCTTGCTCATCTTCTGCATCCTGACATACAGTAACATGTGCCTCATTACTAGGATGGCAGCGGATGAAGAGCCTGAGATACCAGTGGGAAGTGGAGACATGGACCCATGTCCTGCACGAGGCTCCAGCCCTGGTGCCCTGCGTTGCTTTCTGGCACATGGGGAGAAGCTCAGCGTGACTTGGTAGTTAGCCAAAGTGTGCACGTTGTGGTAGGGGAGACCTCAGCCAAACCCTGATACTGGAGAGGTGAGGCCAGGAGCCAGTCATGTTTCTTGTCATCAAAAAAGAAAGTACTTAAAGGGTCCAATTTTGGATTTCAATACTTTTTCTTTTTCTTTTTCTTTTTCTTTTTCTTTTTCTTTTTCTTTTTCTTTTTCTTTTTCTTTTTCTTTTTCTTTTTCTTTTTCGAGTTCACACTGAACTCTTATTGTGGATATTCTGGAGTTTCATCCAGATCAATATATTGACGTACCTCGTTTCTTAAAGCTGCTTGCAGACAAGGCAGGGACCTGTGGCTGTGTGATGGATTATTGCACTTAACTTGACAGGACAAAATGATTTAAGCAATCCTCATGGCTCCCCTGTGGTGGCTGCAGACATACCAAGAGCCATGAAGGTTTTCCTACCAAGTGGTCTCTAAGAAAATCTCTAATAGTAAGCTCTGAGAAAGCCACAGTGAGTTTTCCTGTGTCTTCCAGACCACATGCCACAATTGCTAAAGCAGTATCTTCTAGGTTGATGAGACCAATAACCATGCATGAAACATTCACCACAGGTATGTTTAAAGCGACCATTAGATCGGTGCCACAGTGGGCTGGTCACCAGTTTGGCACCCCTAGGAGCAGAGTATGAGGGGATGATCACTCTGGGGAAAAGCAGGACTTAGCAGTGTCCTCATCCCACTCCACGACATCCCTTTGATCTCCTCCTATGCAGGGCTGTGCTCAAAGGATGGTCATTGATGGTCCACCACTTGGGCTGCAGGGGGAAGGGCCCTTTGTACCTGCTATGAGCTAAAATCCCTCTGAGCTTGGGTATGAGAGACATGCAGAGCCCAAGGAATCAGACGATACAGCTAAGTAATGTATTGGTGACTTGGTATTCAATAAGGATATCTATTTCAATGCAGCGCTCAGGAATTTACATTCATTTTGTTGTGTGCCTGCTCCCAGGATTATAAATAGTAAACAATAAAAGACAAATGGGTTAGGTTGTCAGTGTCTTAGGAAAAATCCATTGGTTTACACCACCTAAGGAAAGGGCTTGATATTTTCTGCATTTCCTGAGGGAGAGGGGAATATCTAATGAAGCTTGGCAAATTTATTTGTCTGACAGCAACAATCAGTTCCATATCAATCCTGTTAATTTCATATCTGTCCTTTTTTTGTTGTTGTTTAAAATGGATTGCCTGTTCGTAACTATCCGCTTGAAAATGATTACGATTGTGATCTGTGTTAAATATCGAGGGCTCATTCGCAATTCGTCTCTCAAGATCAATGAAGTTTTATCATGAGCATTTTTTTTCTGAAGGGTTATGTGTTCGGTTCATCTGTTTCCTTTATGTGCCACTTTAGTAATTTCATATTGATCTTGTATGTGTGTGTATGTGTATATAAAAGAGCAAAAGGGAGGGAGAGACTGTAGGTGGATAYCTGTTAATCTATGATCCAGATAAATTTTAAAAATTCCTGAAAATGGGTATTTAATAATTGTAGGTATTAAAATTGGATATGTTGGAATTCCTTAGTCTTATTTAAAATTCAGAGAGGTTAGACATTTTTTAAATCATCTTTTATTTCTTCTAAAAATATAAATAGATCATAAATACCATCCCTTAAATAGCATCTCTTAAATACTTTAAAAGCATAAGTTATACAACAATATTTTTAGCTTCCAAAATTATTTTTGTTAAATACGTATTAAATCATTTCATATTATGAATATATCATTAGAAAAGTTATAAAATAGGTCTTCTCTTTAAATTATTTACTAAATATTGAAAATATAAATTAGGCAACATTAGAAATGTATAAATATTTTAAATATAATAAATAGAGAATATATAAAAAATGCAAATCATTGTTACTATTTCAGGTTCTTAAAACAGAACAACACTGTCATCTGCCACATGACAGATTTGTAACAAAGGATCGTGCCTGAATTAAAACATTCAAACACTGACACTCCTGGTGTTTTTCAAATAGCGAACAGCCCTCACGGTTTTCTCCATAAACGAAGTAAAGTCTCGGAGGATGAGGTGTGTGGTGATTTTCTCTATCCAGGTCTTATCYGACTTCAGCTTTGCAAGAAGGGACTTCTTGGAAGCAGAGTCTAGGATGACCACTTCATCGGGATCTATCACCTATGAAAAGACAATAAAGGTATGGTTGTTAGAACATAGTAATCTGCCCTATAAATGTAGAACACACTTCCAGCCAGCTACATGTGCACCCTGTTCCTACTGGATCTGATGGACCTCGGTGGGACATGTGCTTGTGGGTAGTCCCACATCTGCTATGTGATTTGAGGTATGTTTCCATCTGGTGTTACTGCTGCTGAAGAATCAGAGGGTCTTCCTTAATCTATGAAATATGTTCCAGATTGAATACAAATTCTTGCATTTCTGAGAAATACACTGCACTGCAGTGACCTATGYGTCAATGCATCTTTTCTTGGTATCTGCTAGTTAGTTATGAATGTAGTATGTCCTCATCTGTAATACCTACATTTTGAGTCATAAATTATTTGGATGGTGTTTGCTTTCTCTCATATTTTGTAGTAGATTACAGTTTCCAAAGATGCCAAGCAGGTTTAGCTGCTTAGTCCTTCTTTGCAGACACTTAGGTTCACAGAACATTAAGTCTTACTGACTTTCGCTGAGGTGTGGGATCCTTCCAGCAGTAAAGAAGATCCTTCTGGATTCCCTACTGGAAGGGATCCTTCCAGTAAAGAAGAATCAGGTACCTAGTTCTGACTGATAATAGTGGCAGCTGGATACCCAAAAGCCTGTTAAGAATTTCTCCTGTGAAGTGTCTGCATGGCCTTTGAAAATAGCAATGACTCCCAAAAACGACCATTTTAGACAATCTGATTTGAGTTGTAGAAGTCTAACCATGAACAAAGTATCTGTTTCATCCTGTTTGAAGAATCTCCACTAAGCTTTAACGAGTGGCAGATGTCTGTGTACCTCCTCCTCAAACATGTGGATTCTGATCACACATAGGTCAAGGTCGTTGGTAGATTCCACTCTTTACAACATGCTATAAAAATTTGTCTGCTCCATATCCAGATTCATGGACCTACCTGACCACAAATTAAGTGACAGGTTCTGTCCTTTATCTCTCTCCTATCTTAAAGAACAGGCAATTTTTATTGTTGTTGTCATTGTTTTATTTCCAATCTAACCATCAAGACTCTTCTACTTTTTAAAGTCACCACAGTTCCTACAAAGTTTTGCTATTGAACTTTTCATTAGATCCATCCTGTTTAATTTTGCTTGTTCTAACTAAACAGTCTTTTTTTTTTATTATTATTTTCAAAAAGGCTAGTCTCAGTCATAAAACAACTTTCTGCAAACTCATAAAAAGAGTTTAAAGTCAGTCAGTTGTCTTCTGATGACAAGACTATTGTTCTAAGCTATTAAAGTGTGAAAAAGCAGTTCAGCTCCCTTTCACTTAAAGAATGGTGAAGGGACATAGGTTAGGAAAGGTATTATAAGCACACAATAGGCTTTTCAAATGCTGAAAACCACCTTGTGGCACATTTCCGCCTTTCTTAATTCTGCTGTACTTACTCACCTGGGTGGCTCCTAACTCTKAACATAATAACCCTTAGCATTAATACATTCTTTGTCATCAGGGAAACTATCTGCATGAGTAAGCACTGCAGGAACAAAGTGAATTTTCAAAGTACTCCAAAACAYAGAGAACAACTGTCATATTGCAGTATCATTTTGTTTCAAGACAGAATTAAGTTTGTAAAAAGGATGAGGCTTTTTTTTCTATTACGACTGCAAGCAAGAAATACACTTTTTTCCCCCCCCAAGATGCAGCACCTCTTATTTAACCAAATAATTAAGCCAAAATTCATTAACCTAATTCTGAATGCAACTACCTTCATTGGTTTTAAACTACTTAAAGTTTCAACATAACGTACAAAAAAACTACTTTTTTGAGAGTTTTAAAGATTAATAAKTATTTGAAAATATATTCGTTATTTCTGCTTTTTTAATACTTATTTTTTACTTTTTAGATGTTTGCAACTTTAGAAGGTTAGGACCGAATTGCATTTCTGCAATTATGGACAATCGCAGGAGAAATCTTACTACTTTTTACAAGYCTTGCAGCATAAATATTTGTTCCTAAAACTGTAGAGTGTATTTAATTGTTGGAGCGTACGCTTTAAAAATAACAACAGAAAGTAGAAAGGGGAACCGTTTCTTTTAAAAAAAAAAAGTTTGTAAAATCCAGAAAAGAGTAGATGAGGAAAGTTCGAGCCTAAGGAGCTATGCAGCCATCAACCTGTCCCTACCGAAAGGGAGCGGGAAGCGCTCAGCTTCCCACAGSATGCCATTTCCCAGCCCTGCCCGTGTCGGAAGAGCGGCCCGAGGGAATCGGCGGCGGCCCCAGACTCACCATCTGCCTCAGGGTGCTCGCCAGGTGCTTGGTGCTGTAGCAGAGCGACTCCACTTGCTGCCGCTCGCTGGCGAACGCCTCCTGCACGTACTCCAGGTACGTGTGGAAGGCGAAGAGGCCGCTGGAGAGCTTCCTCAGGCACTTGTCCTGCGGGAGGGAAGCGGCGGCGCTGAGCGACGGGGCCGCGCGGGGCAGCGCTCCGCGGCCCGGGCACGTCGGGGCACGTTTGGGGCAGGTTTTGGGGCAGGTTTGGGGGGCCGCGGCGGGTGCGGGGCTCTTGCCTCGTTGAAGCCGGACAGGAGGCAGCCGTCTTCCTCGGTCACCCGGGGCAGGTTGAGGTTGTTCTGCACGAGCATCTCCATGCTGTTCTCGCAGACGGTGAACTTCTCGCACATCTGCGGGCAGAGCGCGGGGGCTTTGAGCGCGCGGGGCCGGCCGTGAGCGCGAGCGCGAGTGTGAGTGTGAGCGCGAGTGTGAGCGCGAGTGTGAGCGCGCGCGGGCACGCACCTCGTCCTGCAGGCGCGCGGCGCGGCTGTGCAGCAGCCAGGCGAGCGCCTCGCACTCGGGCAGCGCCGCCCGCGCCGCCTCGCCCGGCGCCTCGGCCTCCCCGGACGCGTCCCCGGGCAGCGGCGCGGCCAGGAGCGGCGCCGCCCGCAGCACCAGCAGCAGCAGCAGCGCGGCCGCGGCGCCGGCCCAGCCTGCGGGGAGAGAGACACCGTGAGCCCGGAGCGGCCCCGCCGAGCCGCCCGGCCCGGCCCGGCCCGGCCCGGCCCACTTACAGCCCCCAAGGAACTTCATGTCGCGGCGCTTCTCGGCTGCGGGCCTTGGCTCGTCGGCGCGGCTGGCGGGCTGAATGAGCTCCGGGCATCGCTGGACGAGTTTTTATCGAGGGGGCTTCGAGATTATTCATGGCCTGGGAAAACCCGGCCTGAGAATACGGCCGAGGGGGGGTGGGGGGTGTGCGCGCGCCTCCCGCCCGCGGACACGGCGCTCGCCGAGGAGCGCGCGCCGGGATTGTGAAACGGGACGCGGCGGGGGGGGGGGAACGGGACGGGACCCGGCGGGACCCGGAGCCATGAGGTCATCGCGCGCGCTCCTCCCGCGGCCGCGGCCGCCCGCGGGCCCGGCCCGCAGCCCGCTCACCTGCCCCGCGCACCGGGGCGCACACTGGCYCCCCGGGCACCCCCACATACAGGCGCACGGCTGTACGTGCATACACAGAACGTGTGTATTACACATATGTATGTATGTTCAGAGGTGCTATGTCATGGGTTTCAACAGGCTCTTCATCACCTGTTAGGATCTTCTCCCTCCCGATGCGCCTCTCTCTGCGAGCACCGTAAAGGARGAGGATGTAACGTGTTTTGCCGCCTGCCTCCACGTTGTCCGTAGCGGCGCGGCGGTGGCGGTGGCTGCAGGAAATGCCACACAGGCCGTTATCTGCCTCAGCTCAGGTGGGAGGTGGGGCAGGAATTTTAATGTCACATGTAAGGATTCTTCGCCCAGGGCCAGTGTGCCCCGTTAACCAAATCGTACAGAATATGGGCTGAGTCAAACCACTTAAGGCAAGCTGTTCTTTACGTTTGGAAATGTCTAGAAGCCAACTGGAGTGTTTTTTTGGTTTGGTTTTGTTTTTTCTTAATGAAATTAGTAGCATTTTCTCATGTTGGCAAGATTGGAGAAAGAGCTGTTTCTCATCTTGGATGGGAGAAGAGGGAGCTGAGAGAAGAGTTGAGGGGACATGAGATGAGGCACAAGTGAGATGATATGGTGACCAAACTTGGATATCTTCATTTGGGCTCCACTTAAAAAAAAAAAAGAAAAAAAAGTACTTCTGATGAATTTTCCAAGCGCCCAGTTGGAGAGGCGCAGGAATGAAGTTTAGCAGAGCCAGTGTAGAGCAGTTCTATAGTAGAGCAGAACTGATTGTTAGTTAGTTCACGTGTAGTGGAAGGCGCCCGCGGTGGCTGTGGCCGGCGGGGAGGCCACACGAGCGCTCGGACACGGGTGCATCCGAGCCGCGTCCCACAGCAGCCAGCAGTCCCTGGCAGTGCGTCACCTGAGCTCAGCGGAGGGCAGCCCCGGCAGTAACTGCACCAGTAGCGCTCTCATACCAACTTTGTACGGGCTTAGCTGTAAGAGTAAAGCAAACCACTAACTATGTGTTTGACTAGTATCAAATTAAGTGCTCCGATTGCAAGCTACCAAAGGATTAAATCAACTGGAGCAGAGCAGCTCAATGGTCTGGACAAGTCTGGTATTTGTCTTTTGGGCAAATCATCAGGGTCAGTGACAAAGTGTAACCTCCTACGCTCGCGAGAGCACACAGACATACAARTTTAAGGGATATTTCCTACTAATTCCGGACAAATCATGTTCATCACTGTGCAGCAGCTGAACTTTTCCTTGTTCCCCTTCACAGAACTGAAGATACTCTAACTATTCCTATAATTCCATAAACTTTAAATATTGCCGTGTTTCCTTCATAATATCTTTTCTGTAGGCATTCCATAAAGTAACTAGTCTTGTTTGGAGCTCTGTAATTTTTAATCTTGTAACATTTTATGAGCTGTCCTTTTCTYCCGGAGTCATGGAAATGTTCACTTCCAAGCAGTTTCCAAAGAACCCTTTTTATGCCGATCACTGTTTTGTAGASATCATTCTCGCAGATGTGGGTGTTTGGATCTTCAAAATGAAATAAAGGCAAATTTCAATTATTCCTCCCCTGAAAATGACAGTCTTTCTTGTCTCGTCTTACTTTTTAATTTGTTGTATATTTACGTGCTGAAGTGGAAGCTGCTCATTAATACCTTATAACTCGRTCTGATGATCCAAAACAAGGCTTAACATTCAAGGGAAAAAAACAACTTCCTTTTTTTTACTATAAGTCTGTGCGGTTTCTTAGAGCAGGCTACTTTTTTAAAAAACTGGTGCTATGGATGAAAAGAATTATTTGTACTGATCTGTCTATAATAATGTTTAAAGTTCGGGGAGGGTTTAGAGGAGATTAATTAGTCTGTATTATACTACACATAGCTGCACTCTTTCATCAGTAGCCACACTACTCAGGAAATAATATGCCATGAAATAACAACTCTTGACAACCAGGTAGTTACAAGTCATGAGACCTGGCAGCTAGTACTGTAAACAKGTAAGTAATTTTATTGAGACTAAGGCGTAATTTATATACACATATGCTTTTATTTGTATACAGTAGCTTTGCCATACAGCAGTTCATTGTGCTTATATCCTTTTATTGCTGTTGTTCTGTGTGTTACCGGGTAGGTAAATCTTTTTTCTATGGCCGTTTATATTGGGAAGTTGTGTTTGRCCTGTGCATTTCCAACTGGATATTCTCCTTTGATTCTGCTAAGAGGTTGAAAGTTAAGTATTACACCAAAGTGCCCTGTGCTATATTTAAAGTGAAGAGGTTCTGTATTCATATTTCTCATAATAAAACATTTCATTGAGACTCTGCACRTGATCCCAAAGAGCACTTCTGCACTCAACTACCAGCCCTGGACTTTGGTTGCGTCGCAAGCACTTAGCTTCCCTGTTGGTTGTTTGCCATCAGTGAACTGCAGAGGTATTTGGGGATTTTTGTGAGAAAAGCACTGGGAACTGCTCATTTTTCTTCCCTCAAGGCATATTTACATCATTTCTGAACAAGACCAAGACCTGTAGTAATAGCATTCATTTTTTTCTCCTGGAGTGTATTGTATGCAAATACTGCAAATTTCCCTGTTTTAGATTGTGTTAGAGATTTAGACAGAAAATCTTTAGTTAACTTTCAGTTATGTTCTGCTGTTTTCCAGCTTTATCTGCTTATTCTTGAGAAGCAAAATCATGCTATGGTCTTTTTTGGTCAACCTCCAGGCCAGATAGAAGATGCCATGGAGGTAACTGTTCTTGGGGAATATCTGAATACCATAGCTCATTTAAATAGGCATGTCACTGTCAAATGAAAATGATCATGGGCAGACGTCTTTGTCTATCTTTTTGATGCCAAGTGTTTTCAACTGGTCATTTTAAGTCTGGAATGGGAATGACTTAACCTTTGCTGCAGAGACCAGCTGAGCGGTAGCTAGGACACGACTTATGGGCATTTCTAGTGGTAATGAAGCTCCCACTTCCCCTTTTTCTCAGTGTGCCTGGGGCTGGGCGCCCTCTCTGAGATGCAGGGCTACTTCATGTACTGCTTCTGGGGACTGGTCAAGTTAAAAATACCCTGGTGGTCTTTCAACTTTCACAAGAATGAAATCTGCATACTACTTGCCTTTGGTTTCCTTATGGTCATCATTCTCTTGGTCAACCCATTGTTTTGACAGAGATCCATTTCATCAGTTTTGCACTTCAAATTATTGTCAGGCTCTACTTCCAAGAAAGTCTCTTGGCCCCTTTAAAAATAAATCTGCTGTAAATTCCACTTATGTTTAAGGAAGTGCTTGGTTCCCTCTCAGCTCCTCTAAGCATGAAAGAGCAACTTAAGAAGTTTTACGACAAAGGAGAACAGGGAGATTTTTCAGTCATCAGGGAAGACGGTGCAACTGAAAAGAGAATACCTGAAACAATTAGAGTATATGAGGTACACAGTAGTATCACTTGTTTGCTATTTTTACTGTTTGTTAATTTTAATATAGCATATCAGATATAAATTGAATTTTACAAACATTTGGAAAGACAGGCTCTCTCTCTCCAAGGAGCTTGCTCAAAGTCAGAGGAAGAGTTGGCTGCCAGTGCGTCTCTCTACAAAATAATCTCATTTTTGAATACTGGGTCTGTTTTTATTGAATAACCATAGAATTAATTTCATTAAAAGTAAGAAGCAGAAGTTCCGTAACAGATCTGCATATTACTTAACAAGACATATGTAGCTCTAAATGTGGTTACCCACATTCATATGGGTAATCTCTTTATCGGACTATTCTCTCATGTACTCCCGCCTCTGCCATGCCTCCTCTTTCTGCTTCCGCTAGTGACTGCCTTTCTGCAATGTTGTAAATTATCAACGCATCACCCAAGACAATTGTTCTGTGTGTTTTTCCTGGAAAGCAGAAGTTTCCCTCTGTGCTAACAACGGAGGCTGGATTGTATCAGTGGTTATTTTTACCACCCTATCCAAAAAAATGCAAGAGATATGATTTCTCATGCTTCTGAAACCTTTATTTCTGTCACAACTTAGGCTGTGGAAACATGGCTGAAGAGCAGGTAGGTGCAATTTAAATCCTGTTTGAGTATTGTGAGACATACAGACTTTCCACCTGGAGGATTATCTTTTACATATGCTATAAAGTGGTAGTGTTACTTTACAGAACAGCAGTAATGAGAAACAAGGGATCAGGACCACTGATAACTCTAGCTCCATTGCTGGAATCAGATGCAAGTCTTAAGCACGTTGCTT